GATGATGATGATGATGATGATGATGATGATGATGATGATGATGATGATGATGATGATGATGATGATGATGATGATGATGATGATGGTGCATCTGCTGTATTCCAGATGGCGGTGAAGGTGTGTGTATGGAGGATTTTTGAGTGTAAACTTACTGGATACCCCACGTATGCAGGCTGATATATTTCTGACCAACGCACGATCCCAATGTTTAGATATCCACCAACAGAATACCAATGTCTATCTCACACTGCAATAACACTGGTAGCGTCCCGTCGGGACAGAGGACAATGTCAGCCTCGCATATACAGACAGGCGCACTTATCCACACGTATAGGAAGGTTCCAGATTTTGGACCGCTTCACAAGATGTCCCAAAGTCCGGACCATCATCACTGCGAAAAAACCTCCAAACCTTGACACTACCTGCACATATCAGGCATGAGGACCGGATACTCGTGGGTAAATTGTTAATGTAAATGAGATAAAAAGAGACTCTTGCGAAACTTCATTGTGAATGACCCACTGTGTCGACTGTTCTATTTGGTTGTTATGTCATGCTGTCGATGATGATGATGATGATTGTGATACAAACGTATCTCCTAATCGGAAAATCCGAGACCCGATAATAAGTGTCACCTCATATCCCGCATACACTCGGCTTCGTTAACAACCGTTCGTCAGGAACGTTTTCGAAGGCCTTGCAGAAGTCAGGTAGAATTACATTTACACCGTCTTCAAAGCCTTGGCTTTCATCTCTGGTCATCAACAGGTTAGGTGAAAGTTGGGAGCAAGATGGCTCAGTGGATAGAACGCGAATTCAATAACCGGAAGGTATATGATTCCGAACCGACTTCTGCATCTCGGCTTTCCCTGTCTAGGTTCAGGAAACCTGGCAGTATTCCAGCCCTCGTGCTTACTTTGGTTTGTATGACAGCTAGGCACTGAAAGGGTGTTACCGCTAAATGGATTTTTAGTCGGGTGGTCCTGAAGATATCCGTGTTAGCCAAGGTGAAGCAAACTATTCTTCACTAAATGAAGTCACTCCAGAACAGATATGATTCCATGCACGACTTTTCAAGCTACAGAGTTGGATTAACCGGTCCGCAGTTTCGTTGAATGTGATTTTCAGTTAAGGCGACTGTTGTAATAGGCTAGAGAAGACGTTATGTAGTTCGCTGTGTACCGCGGAGTGCACGCGTCAGATTCAAATAAATTTGGGAGGGTTTACCACCTGTGGACAACCAAACACGCTTTCTCCAACAAGATCCTGTTCAGGGAACTTGCACTGTGAGCAAGGTAGTATTACGAGTCCTTTGTCGTGGTCTAAGAAGCATACCGATCTATAGTGATCCACGAGTGCTTCTGCTTTGTCACTCATGGAAAATAGTAAGAACATAGTTATTTACTCAGAAGTGTCAGTGATGGCAGGCAAGCGAACGTTTCAACATTGTTCCCGATTTCATTGTAGGATTCTCTGAGACTCTTGACAGCCCTTGCATAAGTTTTTAATCCGTCTTCTAATTGTAATATTTTTCCATGTCTCCAAAGTGCCACCAGACGCAATGACGGTCTGAGAACTCATAAATCGTGGACCGAACCGCAGTAGTGCTCTGGAGTGCGGTTGTCCCCCCATGATGGTGCAGAAGTTCGTTATGTTTCTGTATAATGTCCACATCTTGTGGTTTCTAATCGTCAGCGGTCCTCAACCCATAAAAAATAACCTTTTAGATGTTATCAGACAGGTCAATTGGTTGTAAAGACGGTAATCTACAGTTCCAGCGAAATGTTACCGGCGTGTGGTCACAAACGTCCAGAGATGTGGGCATCTTAAGATCACAGGCGCCAAACTGCCTGGGTGGGGATGGCAGGTGAAATAATGGATACCATGGATCTGGTAGCTTTCTACACACGACGATATAAGAAGTCTGGAGTTGATGCAAATCGAAAAATTGCTCCTGTCACATAAGTGGTGTGACAATTCCACTTTGCACCATAGGCTTCCGGACGTTCCACCATGAAAATACAATGTGACTAGGTAATTGACGCCGAAACGCTCCCGTTATCAGACCATGGCGGAACCTGACAGAACCCTCTATGCTGACTTCTCCGTCACAAAGAGGTCAGACCTTACGACAGTATAAAGCTTTGTGCACCTCCGTGACCCATTGAGCTATATTGTCAGGTGTCCACGCGACAATCGCAGTCTCTCAGGGTCTCTCTTAATATTTAGACACTCGACCAACAAAGTCTCCTGGTACTGCAGATTGGGGGTGGCGATTTTTCCTTAAAAAGCAGTGCACCGAAATTCACTTCTAAAGGTCAGACTTTTAGGCTTTGGTTGAAAACCCCAATAGTCCTCTAGCCTAGGTTTGGGCGCCCAGACAGTATTCCAGTCTTTGTAGAACAATAATTCTGATAATTATACACTCTGTCATGCCACATCGGTCATCGCCTGTTGTCATCAGCCGCTTCTCCTTAGTTGCTACATACAACAGGACGAGTACACAAAAACGGGTTACAGCTAATGCTTCCCTTTTCTTTCAGTTACTTTCCCCTCTCCCCCATTCCAATAATAACACTATGTTCGTAGACCCATCCGTTACGACACAGTCCTGGCCGCAGCTGGCGCTAACAGCCTCAAGAATCTCGAAATCACCAGTTAGACCTCGACGCCGTCTGTGTGGTTGCCTTTGATGTTCTAACTCTGAAAGAAACTGCACAACAAGATGGTTTCTCTAACACGTATGTGTACTGCCTATCAGAAAGAGGAATTCAAGATGGAAGCATGGTCGCTGAAATATCTACCCCATCACTATCCACTGGCTTTAGGCTGAGCACTTCTGGTGATCCAGAGACCACTCTGACGAATATGTAAGGATTCTAGCTTGACCCATTGATGGTTGGTTCTGTGCGGTTCCTCCAGCAACGTCCGTGAAAGGGTCCCGCCGGCGAAAAGCTGAGCGCTGTTTGTTCATCCTGTCTGTTTAGTCCCCAACCGAGTGCAGCACTGACACTGCAGTACAATTATTGACAGCATGAGTGTTCTGTAAAGCAGAATAGCAGCTCATATGTCATTGTGAACGACGGGCCTTATGCACCCTGCTGTCTATTAACAATAAGCAAAATAGCATCTTTCTACATTCACGAGATTCATTCTACATGGGATCTTTTAACGTCCATCAAATTGGCAAACAGGCAATGCTTGCTGAAACCCTACACTCTCTAAAATCGATTCACGTTGTGACTTCGAAAGACGCACACAAGACCCAAGCGTCGTTATGCGTCTCAGAACGCCAGGGAAATGATTCAGCTCATTCACATGTTTTCCTTCCGTGTACCCGGCTATCCAGAAGCGATGACTCGTGGAATATACCGTATGGGAGTTGTACGCACTTTGGTGAATTGGATTCCAGTGAACACTCGTCTTTGCGTCATTCGGTTATCCAGCTCCATCAAGTTCAACGCCTCTCGACATAAAAAGGGTGCCTGTTTGCAGTGTCGACTTATGTCTCAACGGACAGCAGTTCTGTCATTGAGAAGGATACTTTCTATCGAGAGCTATCCGGGCCTATTCTTGGAGCAAAAACAACTGACATTGTGATACATTACCGACGATGCAAATGCTCAATTTGGTCGACTGAGCTCCTTGGAATCACATCCGGGCTGTCGATCTGGAGCCGATGCTGGTCACCAAATATCGGAAGGCGCTGACCACTCCTGTTGTCTACATCTACCGCGCCAAATACCAACTTCTGTTTTTAACCAGGTCAACCTTTGCTCTTTGCTCGCCCAGGAAGATGACTTACTTTCGGTTATCCCAAAACATTACGACCATCGCCACGCACTTTTGGCGGAAACGGTCGCCGTTTTAGCCATATCTGTTTTGCCTGCACCCAACAGATAGTTTTGTTCTGGCGATTTCCAGAGGTCGCCAACGCTGATGACACGCACGGCACGAATGGTCTTGGACAGTCTCTCTTGGATGATCTGACTCTGAATGTGTAGATACCAGCTGTACACCTTCCTTGTGACAGTGGCAAGTAGATGAGCGAGCGTTTTGCGCCAACCTGTTTAGTTTATTCACGGACACAATGGGTGAACAGCACGTATCGAGGTGTTAGGTCAATAAACTGGCATTACACACGCAAGCCACCAAAGCTGCATTTGACTGTGACGAGATGCTGTGCCACTTTTAGGCACCTATAACGCTTAGGAAGCGCATCCAATCCATAGACATGTTGTCTTGCAGACTATCTCCAACCACAGCCGACGCATTCAACCGCATGGTGCCCGTCATTGACGCAGCCTAGTAGGTAGATATAAGTACTCTAAGTTACTACACCAAATACGCAGATGTAGGAATGATTTGGATGGCTCATTGGTTATAGCGCGAATTTACTAACCAGAGGGTACGTGATTCCAGGCCAACCTCTGAATATCGACTTCCCCTGTCTACGATTGGGTAACCTGGTAGTATCCCAGTTGTCGTGCCTCCTTCGGATGGCATGGAAACTAGGCACCGAAAGAGCGCTGCAGCTGAACGACTTTCAATTTTTCATCCTTTTTACCCCTATGGTCTCGATGACTTTCCAACCAAACCTGCCGAGCACGATGGACCGATTACCATATTACGGCTATGGTTGTGACAATTAACTTTGTCCGATATTTGTATATTGCAGGGGCATCCACCACGTGAGTGCGGACGCACAACTACGCCCACTTTGTTTATTCTACGACACGTGCTGTAAACGCTCTCTCCTGCTATTGGGCGGTTACTGGGGAGCGTGCCACGATGTGGAGCTTGATCGATCCACAGAAACCTGGCCAAGCACGTGCTGTAATGCTGGTGCTGATGAAATATTCTGCTCAGATTCGCAGCAGAATGAGATCGGTAAGTTGGAACATGCAAACGATAAACATGACGGCACTTTCCTCTGATTTCCAAATAAGTGAATAACCCCATACCTTTCTGAGGTCATTCATCCGACTGTCCTTGAAGTGGTAGTTGAGCATGCGTTGTGACAGAGAACGCTGGTGGATTGAGAAGGCCCAGAAGATGGATAAGGCTAAGCTGTGGGCAGCAACTGCGCCCTGTTGCAACTGGTTCGACCAAAAGACCAAAATAAGACAGCTTAACCACATGCGGAAAAGATGGAACGGCAATTAACTCACAATCATCGTCTTGAGCGATGGGTCAACCGCGTCAAAGAAGGGTTCAGCTGGCTTCCTCCAACACAACCTGTGAAAATGTCCAGCGAGCCTGAATGGAATACCACCACCATCCCGCCGTCAACAACGTAAATCATAACATTTCTCCGACATCACGAGTTACCTGACCCAAACGGTTTACAGCACGCGCTGTTCAAAGGTAAGATTCTGAACAGTCCAACGACCGCACTACAGAACATGTGGAAAGAAAACAGGACGCCGGTGGAATGAAGCTTCTCGACCGTCATACCTGTCTTCAAAAAGGACACAAGAAAAATATCGTGGCATCTAGAGTACACTTTGGTATTATTTTGCGCGGATTTATCGATAATCGCGAGACAGTGTGATGCGAATCAAGCTGCGTTTCGCCCTGACCGAGGATGCGTCGACCATATTCTAACTTGAGATAAGTTATTGAACAGCACCTCTTTCAAGCGTCCCAAGTTGGTCACTCCTCTGAATCTTAAAGCTGCGTTTGACTCAGCTGATCGTCAGAAACTTTGGATATCAAGGGTGCCTCTTCCAAATTTAATCCATTGTGAGGGCACCGTAGACAAACTCCTGGGGACGGGTGCGATTATACGGCGCGCTCTCGCCTGAATTCACCGTGTCCGGTGGTGTAACACTAAACCGTCTTCAGTCGCCTTTTCTCTTGGGCTTTGTCAATGATGTACCTCGTGAAATTTCTGTCTGCTTCTGAAATTTCTGGAGACGAAACGCTACCTGGACGTTCGCTC